AAATTTGCATATTATCATGCTTTAATCTTATCACATCATTAAGCATAAACTACAAGAAGACAGAATACATGGTCATCGGCAAAAAGATGAGCCCGAAATTTGATTTGCAGGTCGGGAGCACTAGAATCAAGCAGACGCGAAAATTTAAATATCTGGGAGGCGTTGCGACAGAGGATGGTAAGTGCGACACTGTGATCTGTAAACGTATTGGGATGGCGAAAGACTCATTCCAAAAGCTGGGCAATGTCTCTTTGGTAACAAAGAAAAGAATACTAAGCCGTTACATGTCATCTGTTCTTCTTTACGGCAGTGAATTATGGACGATTTCCTCAAAGATAAAGAAGAGACTCGAGGCGACGGAGATGTGGTTATCCAGAAGGAGGCTAAGGATATTATGGACCGAGCGTGTCTTGCAAACAAGGAGGAGGCTTATACTTAACATCAGGAAGAGCCAGCTGAAATTTCTGGGACACATACTGAGGAAGGAGGGCCTAGAGAATCTGATACTCACGGGTCGAATAGAAGGAAAGAGAGACAAGGGAAAACAACGCATGATATGTGGATGACAGAACGTGGTCTGGAGGGAGGAAGCAGAGGGAAGGAACTTGTTGAGAGCTGCAAGAGATAGAGTGAGGTGGAGAAGGACATGCCACATAAAAAGAAAAAGTTGTTTAAAGGGGTTTATCAGCTACTACAGAACACCTTCGATAACGTAACTTATTTTCCAAGCCTCACAGACACTACTGATAAAAGCATACTTTTAAACAAGTATACAATTAAGACTTCTTAACCCTTTGGACCCTGCGTTCAAGAACAATTTTAATCTTTCTGCTTGAACATCTGAGTCAAAATTCGCAAATAATATGTATGTAATGTTTCACGGTAGGTATAAAAGATGTGTTTATCCATCGTTCAATCGGTTTCTGGGCATTAAGTCTTATTTCTCTACCACCGTTCAACCGGTGACTGGGCATTACGTTACTTTTCTCTATCACCGGTGATCAAGGCTCAAAAGTTTAATAAAATAAAGGAGTATAGTTATTATATGTAGAACGCTCAAATCTTTCGTACTCTAGGGTACGTTGATGCAACTGCACATGCGCAGGAACTTTCTATTTCATACAGTATTTCACTTTTCTTGACAGATTTTCTATTATCACAATATGGGATACTTTATTACAAAATTGATAAAAACATAAGCATTAGAAATTAAATGAATTGGCTTGACCAGTGCTTAACATCCATTTTAAGCAACGGCACACTGAGGAACAAATGAAAATATCACAGCACACTTAGCAACATTTTTAAAGGATATACATTTAAATGTTATGAAATAAAACCATAGATTTAACAACAAAAATGCATACACAAATATGAACTTACTCTATTTCAGCTTTTCTTATTCAACTATTTGGGCAACTTATTTAGTGTGAATCATGTTTTTTTGTTTTTCGTGATTTCTTTAATGTTTGGTCGAATGAGCGATATGCAGACGGTCATTTCAAATTTATTTGAGTAGACTCTTTGACGCTTCTTATTCTTTATTTTATTTAGGGTTGGGAAGACTAATTCACATGAATAAAAAAAATAGAAAATTGCAATAAAACTGATAAAAACATTTTACCTAATGTAAAATATTTCTTTTGTATTGAAATTTAAACAGTATCAAGCCTACCATCAGATATTTTATTAAATGGTGGGAAATTCTTCTTCAAATAACAGAAGTCTAATATTAGAAGGAACATTTAATCCAATCATACTTTTGCGATACACTTAAGAGGATCGTGGGGCATATTAAATTATAAAGTTTTAAATGTCTCCTTTCGTGCTGTAATAACCGCCATAATAGAATACCCACAATGTACCATTAACCCGTATATATATAAATAGCCGAGAAAAATAACAGCATTTGTGGCCTGACGATTGCATATAGCATGAAACAGACTGTCGCCTCTAAGTGTTGACTTCTATGTTCACTTTTATATTTACACACGCTCTATCTCTGATATTGAGCACTTTATTCCGTAAATATAGCACACCTTAAGAGTATATATATATATACATATATATATATATATATATGAAGAAATTTTGAAAAAACAAACAAAAATCCTTAAATGTAGTTAAAATGAAAGAATTTTAAAATTTCATTTTAACTACATTTAAGGATTTTTGTTTGTTTTTTCAAAATTTCTTCATTCTGTCGGATTTATATCCATTATATCCATTTACACTTGCTTATATATATATATATATATATATATATATATATATATATATATATATATATGATTTCATCAATAAAATAAAAAAGGAAAATATTGAAAATATTACATTGATGTTGCTCGTCCGTTTCGAATGAGTTTAGTCCTTAGTGGGGATTTGGTAATTATTCTCTGGGAACATGATACCACAAACAGCAACAACAACAAATTTGAACACGTGAAAAATTCTATTCTAAATTTCTGATTAATCTTAGTTCTTCATTATATTAATTGAATAAGCTGATGGTGAGTTTTACGACAATAAAACATCCATAGAAAGTTCCCCATCGCATCGTTAAATATTTGGATTTGTCAACTTTAACAAAATATGAATATTAGTCGTAAGGAGGTACAAATGAAAAGATTTGAAATTGACAACTTTAATTTCACTGAAACAGACGTTAAAAAATTCTATCTTTCCTTCTTTCTTTCATTTGCTCACTGAAATCAAGTAGCATCTTTGACGTGTCTTTTCACGCGATCAAAATGGAATACTCCATAATTTATGACGTATTAACAAGAGACGATAAACACTTCTAACTTCCGTGCTTTTTTCCTCCTTTCTGCTTTTCATTGAAAACAAGTAGCGTCCCTTGTATGTCTGCCTTTCCAAATCAAAAACGTATCACGATAAACTACGAACGGCAGTAAGGCCTCTTAATGGTTGGTTTTGAGGAGCGTAGAACCACCTGTTAGCGACTCAGCTATGGGTAAAAAGTTAACTCCCAAATTGGGGTCAAAAAACTATGAAAATGCTCAAATATATTTTTATAACAGGAATACTTTATTGGGAAAAAAATATTGCCAGCAAGAGATTTGATTCTTGACAAAAACGCTCTTTAAAAATATACGTCACTGAAACCTGATATACAAACTGATTTCTTACAAAGAATATATATTCTATTCATGCGAATCTATCCTAAAAATAACCCATTGTTCTTTATATGCCGTAAAACAAAATAAAACTTATGTCAAAACATTAAGAAAGTATAAAAATGGATTTTTATAGTGAAGATAGCAGCAATACATTTGAATTTCGGGAAAAAAAACCTCTTTACAGAAATACGTCAATGAAACGTCATCTACAAACTGATTTCTTACAAAAAATACATATTCTATTCATACGAACCGAGCCTATCCTAAAAATATTGTCAGCATTAAATAACGCATTGAGATGTTGATATGCCGTAAAACAAAGTAAAATTGTAGTCAGAACAATATAAAAATATATAAATCGATTTTTATAGTGAAGACACCAACAAAATCTTTGAATTTTGGGAAAAACCCTCTTTACAAAAAAAAACAAAAACAAAATCGTCAATGAAACCTTATCCCCTTCAAACTGATTTCTTACAAAGAATATATATTCTATTCATACAAAACGAACCTATCCTAAAAATGTTGTCGGCATTAAATAACCCACTGAGGTTTACATACCATAAAACGAAATAAACCAAACCAAACCAAAAACAGAATAGTCCATTATTCATGAGATATTGGCTGGACGTAACGGTCGTGTGTTCTTAAGAAGAGAAAGGACAATAATAATAATAATAATCTACTTTAATGCCAATACGATATAGAGGTACACGAAACGAAGCAGACAGCCCGACAGATTCTAAGGAGAAAGATGTCTTTGATCCCTGATCCTCAAACGATCTCTAATCAATACAACAGTCGATAGCGTCCTTTAGAATGTTATGTTCATTTACAAGTCAAAACTTATTTTCGTTGGTTTATCGATTATGGTTCTCCATTTCATTATTATTATTATTAGTATTATTATTATTAGTAGTAGTAGTACAAAAGATTATTCTCACAATGCTTTCAATTGACCGATTTTTTTTTAGAATAAGATACAAGAAACCATGCATAAATAAAGAAGAATCCTACATTTATCTCCATTTATAAATATTTTAAGTTAGAAATCCATTTATTTTCTGGAGATTTCTGTTTCTTCTTCCTTTCTTTCATTTACTTTTTGCCTTTTTACTTATTCGTCCCATAAGCTATTACGGTTTTCTTACTATCATATGCGTGTGATCCGGTGAGTACGTAGTTATATATATATATATATGTGTATTTTTATATCGGTTTATAAATCTACTTATATATACTAGCGACCAATATAGCTAGTACGTTTTTTATAAAAACATCTTCCTAAATGTAGGCTGACCCACTGTGTCTGTTTGTGTGCGTTTTGGGTATCATTGTATATGTTTCAAAATATACTTATATATAATAATGAACAATATACCAAACTCTTTGTTATAAAACCTTCTCCAAAGAAAGAAAGAAAGAAAGAAAGAAAGAAGATTAAAAAAAATCAAAAAAAATCTGATATTACAATAAAGAAAGAAAACAGCGGTAGGGGAAAGAAAGAAACGAAAAGAAAGAAAGAAAGAAAGATAAAAAATTGTAAAATCTGATAGTACAAAAAATAAAGAAAACAGCGGTAAAAGAAAGAAAGAAAAGAAAAAAGAAAGAAAAGAAGAAAGAACAAAAGAAGTTAAGACAGAGAAAGAAAAAAAAGAAATGTAAAAAGTAGAAAATGATAAGAAAGTAACGACAGAAAAAACATTAACAACAAAGTAAAAAAGAAAGGAAAACGTACAAAGATTAAAGGAAGAGATTTAACAAGAAAATGCCAAAAGTAAAAAGGATAAAAGGAGTAGAAAAAGAAAGAGAAAAAAAAAAAACAATGAACAAACCGGAAATTAGAAAAAAAGAAACAAACTAAAGAAAGAAACAAAGGAAAGAAACAAAAGAACGCGAAAGAAAAATAAATAAAATAAAGGAAACGAATACAGTAAGAAAGTACAAATAAAAGGCAGAAAATGAAAAGAAAGAAAGAAAGAAAGAAAGAAAGAAAGTAAGAAAGAAAGAGACAAAATGATTTAAAACGAAAATACAACAGTTATAAATAAAAGAAACAAAATGGAAGAAAAATAAAAAGAGGAAAGAAAATAAGGAAAAAAAAGCGAAAATTATCTGATGAGAAAGAAGGTAAGAAAAGCGGAAAAGAAAGAAAAAAAAGATTTAAAGGAAAAAGAAAGAAATAATTCG